GTTCTACTGTGCTCATTAAAGCCAATAAACTGATTTTGTGGGGTCCTAATGTTTGAGGGATTTTGACTTAAAGCATTTGTTGTACTATGTAATTTAAGTAGGTATGTCAGGATCAAGCAACAGAAAAAGGAAATACTTGTGAACTTGAATGAGATGAAGAGCTCTGTGGTTAGAAACACCCTAACACCCAGTGAAATTGAGTGACGTGCTGAGGCAAGCAATATAAAGACCCTTTGGTCCTCCTGAATCCAGACTCTGGACTTCAAATCTCTACATCTGTATGGATGACGGCACTACCCAAATGTGGCTGTTTAAATTTAGTTCGTTTATCCTGGAGACCAGTTAGGGGATTAATAAATAAGTTTCCAATGGACGCTGCTGGTATAGATGAAGCAGAAATGGGGGATGTGTCAACTCAATGACTAGACATGGGTGTCCATGTGCTAAATGAGAGGACGAGACTGGGCCAGCTCTGAAATCCTTTTCAGTCCCTCAGTTTGAAAGCCCATGCAGTTTTTGTGTGATCTGAGGAGTTCTAAGAGGCAAAACTACCTGAGGAGCAGCCAATCCTAGATTTCAGGAGTCCTCAGGAGAAGGAAAGAGCCAGAGTTTGCTGCCAGCATCTGTTTGAAAGCCACGGGAGAGAAGGAAAGGAGAGAACAAAGAGATGTTTTGCATTATGCAGGCAGCCTCAGCTCCTCACCCTTGATGACATGACAGCAGCAGGGAACTGCTGCTGCGCCTGGTCTGTGGCAGCCAGTGGGGCCAAGTGAAAGGAGGATATTTTGTGTGGGTGCGTCAGCTCCCTGCTCCTTCCTAGCTTGATACGGAGAGTTAAGCTATATGATCTAAACCAGTGTTTTTCAACCTTTATCTCACAGCACACTTGAACCTATAGTAAAACTTCATGGCACACTTAAATTATGTTGATCCAAAAAAAGGAAAAAGGCTCGGCACCTGTAGCTCAGTGGCTAGGGCATCGACCACATACACTGGAGCTGGCGGGTTTGAACCCAGGCCTGGCCTGCCAAACAACAATGACAACTACAACAACAACAACAACAACAAATAGCCAGACATTGTGGTGTGTGCCTATAGTCCCAGCCACTCGGAAGGCTGAGGCAAGAGAATTGCTTAAACCCAAGAGTTTGAGGTTGCTGTGAGCTGTGACGCCACAGCACTCTACCGAGGGCAATATAGTGAGACTCTGTCTCAAAAAAAAAAAAAAAAGTTAAAAAAAGAATATATTTACTGTGCTTTGAACTTCTTTCAAAAATAATTTAATTAATATGTAAAAATTTTCAAAATGGTTGATAATCACTGATCTAAATAGGTCAAGTCATCCCATTGAATCCATATGGATTTTTTTGGTTAGAAAATCTCCAATTATCACTGTATCTTTTAAACTTTTAAAACAATTTTGAGGTATGATTTGCATACAAGAAAATGCACCCATTGTAGCTATACATTTCAACAGTTTTGACAAATGGATAACTCAGGACACTACCACCACAGTCAAGATACTAAACAATTCCATCACCCATGATTTTTCTCAGCAACTCTGGCCTCAGATAGGTAATCTGCTTTTATTGCCATAAGTTAGTTTTGCTTTTTCTAGAGTTATATATCAATGGAAGCATTTGGGACGTACTTTGTCTTTGTTTGCTCAGTGCAGTCTTGCTGAGATTACCTGTGTTGTGTATATGAGCTGATTTCTTTACTGTCAAGTGGTATTTTATTGTATGGATTTTGTCATAATCTGTTTATCCAGCTGTTGTAGATAAGCTGTCCTTTGTGCAAGCATATATTTTAATTTCTCTTGGGTCAGTATCTAGGAGTAGAATGGTAGTTGGGTAGTTGGGTAGTTGGGTCTAATGGTAAGTGTATGTTTATCAGAAACTGTCAAAACGTTATGTTCTTAGGAACTTGATTTTTTTAGGGGGGGCAAGAGTTGTTGTTTTGCCTCTAATATTTTCTGTACCCACTCCCCAGTTCCCACTGGATTTTGTAGACTAGATATGGTAGACAGTCTAAAAACAGGCCAATGTTCTAGAAGTTGTGGGTTAGGGTTAGGGTTCATTCTGGGTAAGGTGGTACTGGGTCATATTTAATGATAAAAAAAACCCAGGCAGGATGGATAGAAGGATTTAAACAAATAGTGTTGTGCTTTTTGGAAGAGAGCGCGGGAAAGGCTGTGTTTGTACCAGTTGAGGAAACAACTAATTCCTAAAGGATTCAAGGTGTTTACAGGAAAAATTGTTCCCTGTGGCCAAGGTGGAAGGCTTCTAACCCAGCTCTTTTCTTAACTTTCCTGTCCTCGTAGAGAGAGAACCCGAGGCCAGCTTGGTCTGAGAACTACTGAGAGTTTTCATGTGGTAGATACACAACAAAGAAACCTTGGCACAGGGCCCCTTTCTGCTTCTGACTAGTATAGCAAATGGAAATGAGATACCAGACCTAGCCCGCAAGACTGAAATATATAAGGAAGTTGCTTTGTAATGAAAATAATAAGCAAATATACATTGTTACTCATCTATATGCTAAAAACTAGCCAATAAACCAATATAAGTTGCTAGTCTGTTTCTACCTTTTTTAAAAGTAAATGTTTCTGTGATAAGAATCAAACTTCTGATCACAATTTTGCAACAATAAATTCTGTTAAAGATTACTTTTTTCTTCTTAAATGCAGGCATGTACTTGCAGGTATTCTCTAAGATCATTCATAGCAATTCAAGTTTTATAGACAAGTTTGGAGAATGCTGTGCTGCAGTCTCTAATGCTGGCAATCTTTTGAGAGTACCCCAAGTGTTCTAATGAAGTCATTTTTGCATCTCATTAACTTTGTTGATTGGTGTATTAATTATCTATTGCTACATAACGAATTACCACAAATTTAGCAGCTTGAAATCCCATACATTTTTTTATCCCACAGTATCTCTGAGGTCAGAAATCCAGGCACAGCTTAGTTGGCTCTTCTGCTTCTGAGGGTCTTGCAAGGCTGCAACTAATGTGTCAACCAGGGCAGGGATCTCATCTGAAGGTTCAACTGAGGAGGGATTCACTTCTAAGGTCATGCGGCTGTTGGCAGAATTCAGTTCCTTGAAATTTGGACTGGGATCATTAGTTCCTTGTTGGCTATTGGCTAGAAGCCACCCACAGTTTTTTGTCACGTGGACCTATCCAACATAATGGCTTGCTTCATCAAAACATACAAGCCCAGAAAATAATAAGAGTTAGCTAGCAAGATGGAAGCAGCAATTTTGTGTAACCACATCGTGGATGTGACATCCCATCACCTGCATTCTGTTAATTAGAAGCAAGTCATAGGCCTCACCTACACTCAAGGGGGATGACATAGAGGTGGTGAACAACAGGAGCCCATCTTAGACTTTGCCTGCCACAGCTGGGCTGCCGCCAGACCTGCTTTCCTCTGAAACCCAATGCACTGCAAATAGTTGCCCAGAGACTCTATTGCTAGGTGAACAACTCAACCACAGAAGTAAGAATTAGTGGATCAGTCTGGAACAAATTGTAAGGGATAATTCAACTCTTATTCTTCTAGATTTACTTTTCTTTCAGAAAGTGGGTAGAACAAATGTACTGTCAGCTAGAAAGTGATTTCTTATATATCAAGACCAGCATCCTACACAGAAGTGGACCCAGAGGAGACTCTCCATAAAAATGATTTGCCTGTTGGGCTCAATCAGCTGTATTGCCCTCCTTTTACAACAAATGTTTTATAATAGCCTCCATTCTAAAGTGAAACCTATAAATAGCATTTACCTGTCCATATAATTTTAAAACATTAATATGACTTAATATAAAAGACAAAACAAAAAGAATTATAATAAAAACAATGTGATTCAATATGTAAATCCTCTAAAATAAAGTGGTTGGAAGCTTGCTCCTGAGTTTAGAATTGCCACAAATGAGATACCTATAAAGGCAGATTGATACTTGACACTGCAATGTGGAATTAAGGACTCAGATACTTCAACTTGTCATGGGTGGTATGATTTTCCAGGAAGGTGAACAATTCTTGGAAATGTTCTGAACAAAACAAAAAAATCACCCTCTAATTTACACAGTGGTTGCATTTTTAGAAAAAAATCAGTGTATGTTCAAACTGTGCAAAAAAAAAAAACCCTCATTTTGGAGTTAGTCTAGGTCAGGTGACTTTCAATGTTATCCACATGTACGTTATGCAGGACATGTGAGGGCCTTGAGACAATTCATTGTACAGGACGTTGCTGCTCTTTGCAGTACAAATGTCTGGCCCCTAGCACTTCCCCACCCACTCTTCCCCAGTTCCAGGAACACTCTCAACTTTTTTTTCTTTTTGGAGACAGAGCCTCAAGCTGTCACAGTGGGTAGAGTGCCGTGGCATCAACTCCTACACTTAAGTGATTCTCTTGCCTTAGTCTCCCAAGTAGCTGGGACTACAGGCACCTGCCACAATGCCCGGCTACTTTTTGGTTGTAGTTGTCATTGTTATTGGCAGGCCTGAGCTGGATTCAAACCCGCCAGCTCTGGTGTATGTGGCTGGCACTTTAGCCACTTAAGCTACAGGCGCCGAGCCCGCTTTCTAATTATTTTGACAATAACGCCCTTGGATTTCACAGATGGGTGGTACCACTCCACAGTAAAGTTAAGTGGGGCTTAACCTCTAAGTCAGCAGTTCTCAACCTGTGGGTCACGACCCATAGGAACTGTATTAAAGGGTCACAGCATTAGGAAGGTTGAGAACCACTGGTCTAGGTAAAAGGAGCAATGCTGTTACATGGTTTGGTTGGATACAGTTAATCCTAAATGTCAGGGAGCTGTTGTGATCCAGCAGCACAGGTGCACTTGGCTTCTTAGAGCAAGCAAAAGACCACAGTATCTGCTGGGGGTGCAGAGAGAGAGAGCATCGCGTTAGGCCTTTAGCAATGGACATCATAAAGCTGACATTAGCACAGTGAATTTTAAGAATACTGATAAAATGCTTTCTTTTTCAACAGAAACTTGTTTCCCTCGAATCTTGTGGTTGCAGCTTTCCGGACGGTAAGGCTTGATACTTTGCTAAAGATACGAGACTTTGATATGGGAGATGTGGAAATCATTACTATAGAGTTAGGCAAGGTAGAAGGGGGGGGATAGTGCTGGTAACAAAACTTGGTAACGTTGGCCTAAAGTTTTATTGAGGGGTACATGGAGTAAAAAGACAATAACAACAAAAAAGACTGAACAAATACAACTTGTTTCCCTGGTTCCCAAATTATTTTACATCACCTAAGAAATACCGTCAAATCACATTTGGGGGGTGTCTTAAATATTGTAGAAATTTTTTTTAATGTTTATCTTTTTTTCTGATTATAGAGGTAAGAAAAAAAATTACCTTTATTTTGTAAAGTAATTACAAAAATTACTACCTCGAGTGACTTATTGTTGACATTTTGATACACCTTCTTAGTTTTTTCTGTACGTGCGTACATTTTTAAAGAAGCATAAACACATCATTAGTATGTACACATACTAACATATTGCTTCTATTTTCTCATGTCAGTAAATACCCTCCTGTATAATGTTATGGTTTAGAGTGTTCTGCTGCATGAGTACAACATAATTTTCCTCTGTCATTATTTTCCTTGTTGATGGACATTCATGCAGTTTTTGGTTTTCCACTAATTTTTTTTTTATTTTTTTGCAATTTTTGGCTGGGGCTGGGTTTGAACCCGCCACCTCCAGTATATGGGGCCAGCGCCCAACTCCTTTGAGCCACAGGCACCACCCAGGTTTTCTTCTATTTTTTTTTTATTTTTTTATTTTTTATTTTTTTGAGACAGAGCCTCAAGCTATCCCCCTGGGTAGAGTGCCATGGCATTACAGCTCACAGCAACCTCCAACTCCTGGGCTCAAGCAAGT